TGAAGCGACAGATGGAGAGCGAATTTGTAGTACTTCGCCAGAGTCTTGAATACGGGTCTCGGATAGACAACAAACATCGATATTAGGACTTCCCAAAGACATAGCAAGCCCTATCTGTAGTCTGACCTGCATGAGTGTGCGAACAGTGAAGGCAGCCAGTTTGAATGGTGCACGAGGTTTCAGAAAAATTGCTTGAGTATTCGTATTTGGTGGAAACACACAATTTTCAGCCGGACAGTGACTCGAGAACGTTTAGATAAAGTCAAATTTCCACCATAGACGAGCTGCTGTATAAGTCGACAGAGTAGGAATAAAAGAGAGTGAATAAATGACGTAAATAATAATAATAATTATTATTATTATTATTATTATTATTATGTGAATTTTTTGACTGTTAATCGAAGCGTGAATAGAATTTACAGTAAATATCGTCATTTCCATTTTATTTGTGTGCGGGCTGTGATACTACTCGGGTGCCCAGACCGAAGCAGGTGGTTTTCTTAGAGAGCCACACCCCGAACCTTTGACCTGGAGGTCTGACCCACAAGGCAGTGGAGCATCGTGAGGAGATGCAGTCCCATGGTAGCCAGTGACCAACGACTGGTTCATACGCCATTTGTTCCCTCAGGATACTGGAGCCCATGTGCACCAGTGGTTTGGGATCCGATTAAAGCGCCGGACATTCGCTTTTCGTCCTCTCATTTTCGTAAACAACACCCGCTCCACGAGAAGGCAGTGAGTAGGACTTCCCTGGCAGAGGCTATATACGCGTGGCCATGTGAGAGGGAGGGCGGGCCCACCCCACTCTCGGCCATACCAGGGCATTTGTAAGCAATAAATGTATATGTACATGCAATTTCATTATAAAACTGATACAAAAGATCAGTCGTAACGGACCAACAAGATTTTATATGAACTCCGTTGGTAGAAACGGACTAAGAGTTATAAAGATTAAGTTGTTTGGCGATGTTTATACACCAAACTTGCAACGCTACGAAAACTTTAAATCTTTCGATCGAGCCCCCAAATGCCCTGGCACGGCCGAGAGTGGGGAGGGTCTGTTCTTCCCCTCGAAATGCTCTCACATGGCCACGCGTATATAGCCTCTGCCAGGGAAGTCCTACTCACTGCCTTCTCGTGGAGCGGGTGTTGTTTACGAAAATGAGAGGACGAAAAGCGAATGTCCGGCGCTTTAATCGGATCCCAAACCACTGGTGCACATGGGCTCCAGTATCCTGAGGGAACAAATGGCGTATGAACCAGTCGTTGGTCACTGGCTACCATGGGACTGCATCTCCTCACGATGCTCCACTGCCTTGTGGGTCAGACCTCCAGGTCAAAGGTTTAGGGTGTGGCTCCCTAAGAAAACCACCTGCTTCGGTCTGGGCACCCGAGCATTATCACAGCCCTTACACATATCGAATGAGATTTGTGTGGCGAATATGTATTTGGTGCCTCCTTGTACCAATATCTGTGTTAAAATAAATAAAAATAAATAAATCGATCTAAAGAGACAATTACTGATAATCCCCTAGGATTATCAAAATCCCAAAATATATTTTAGAATCCCACGCGTACATGATTTATCGAATTTTGTGACATGAAATCGCTACTAGCCAATATCTTTAGCACCTAAATGATCAGTAAATATCAACATTTCGCCTGAAAGAAAAGTGACTGGTATCATGACAGGAAGAAGTATTATCGGCATTACGTGACAACACTCCACTCAATCATTTATTGGGATCTTACTTAAAGGCTAGTTTTATTCTGGAATGCTAACAGACTTGTTTACAAAACGCCTTAAATGCCATGGTACAGCCGAGGGTGGGGAGAGTCAGCTCCCGCACTCGAAATGCTCTCACATGGCCACACGTATACAGCCTCTGTCAGGGAAGTCCTACTCACTGCCTCCTTGCACCGCGGGTGTTGTTTACGAAATTGAGAGGACGAGAAGCGAATGTTCGGCGCTTTAACCGGGTTGGTGGACACGGAGGGTCCACCTAGGACAGTTGGAATACCCTGATTCCAAACCAATGGTGCACATGGGCTCAAGGATCGTGAGGGGACAAAATGTGAATGAACCTATTATCGGTCACCGGCTACCATTGGACTGCATCTCCTGACGTTGCTCCACTGCCTTGTGGATCAGACCTTTAGGTCGAAGGCTCCGGGTGTGGCTCCCTAAGAAAACCACCTGCTTCGGTCTAGGGCACCCGGGCAGTATTACAGCTCACACATAAATCAAGTGACTTGTGTGGCGCATATGTATTCAGTGTCCCTTCGTACCAATATTTATGTGTTCAAATAAAAAATGTTTACAAAACAAGAGCTCTGGTACGGCAAGTGAAGCGAATCCACAAATGTTACTACTAGTTTGACGTCTGTCTTGACAGTCTCGTCTCACTGTGCTGATATGGTGTGGTAACTTGAACCGACGAACATATGTGCCAGGTTTTACGATGCTTACGACTGACGTAAAAATCGACAGTTAATACGCAGATAAAAAGCAATATGAACCGCGCTCCAAACATAAGTCCATACAAATTATCGAAACAATGATCATCTTACTACAAATTTATTATAAAACAATTTTAAGTCTGGGATACGTTTGGTTTGCATGCAGTTTACACTGTCTACTCACGTATAGCCTTCTAATCGCTCATCGGCTTATCTGACTGGATTTTCCCTGTTTGGTTGGTTATGGTATCTCTTTTGAAAGGTGTTGTCGAGCATAGTCTGACATAGCTGTTTAGAAACTACTTCTAAACGTTTGCACCTAAATATAGATCGAACAGGAAGGTCAGACAATGCTATGATAGGACCAAAATGAAAATGTATTTTAGCTCGCACAGTTCGTTGGAGTCAGAATTGATCACAATGGTATAGGTGTTCTTTGTCTTCCTTTAAACCGTGAGATTAAAATTACTTCATACTTTTATTTCCACGAACTAATTCTTTCTTCTGGTTGGCGTTTTTTAGCTCGGTTCTTTTCTATGGGATGGAGTTGCCAACCACATACACAACCCTCCTCCTTTACCCAGGTTCGGGACCGCCAGTAACCCTAAAACAGCTACAGGCGGGAAGCATCATCAATGAGTAAGGAGGATCTGATGCAGACATAAAGGCAAGAATTGGCAAAGAAAGGGCGGCATTCCTACAATTGGAAAATATATGAAACCAGCATCACAGCGATGCTGCCTTCCCATAGGGAGGGGAAGGGTTAGAAAAGGTCGACCATATAAAATGTACACCTCACCTTATCCCACGGATATCCGTCTCCGGTGGTAAGGTCTCAACAAGTACAGAGCTAACACGAAAATTCCTCGTAAAAGGGTCGTATGTGACTGACCTCAAGCAGTTGTCCCTTGGACACTGCGGTCACGCTCGCAGGTCACTAAGGCCACCTCTAATCCAAGTCCCTATTCAAGTACCTCCAGAAGAACCCTTCCACGATGTGGGCAACTGGGACGTGATAACCGCCTTCATACCTCTAACAGCACTCACTCATATGAAACTCAAGACAACTGTCAACTAATATCAAAGTGAGAATTTTTAGTAGGGATGTCAAGGCAGTTCTATTTTATGGAGCTGAGACTTGGAGAACTACCACAACCATCATTAAAATGGCACAAGTGTTTATAAATAGTTGTCTACACAAGATACTCATCCGTTGGCCGGATACCATCAGCGACAGCCTTCTGTGGGAGAGGACAAACCAGCTTCCAGTTGAAGAGGAAATTAGGGAAAGACGCTGGAAGTGGATAGGTTATACATTACAGAAATAACCAAATCGCATCACGATGCGAGCGTTAACTTGGAGTCCTGAAGGGAAGCGGAAAATAGGAAGACCGAATAACACACTACGTCGGGAAATAGAAGCAGATATGAAAAGGACGAGTAGCAACTGGAAAGGGTTGCTCAGGACAGGGTTGGACGGAGAGTGTTAGTGGGCGGCCTATGCTCATTCACGAGGCGTAACGAGTGTAAGTCATTTTTTTCTTCCTGTACTATATCCTTATGTGCAATCCTTTTTTACATATTACTACCATTGAAGTAACTATTTCTACGAATTTGATGTTCGTCTTGTTGTGCTAATAATGTGTGGCAACTTGGATCGATGTATATACGTGCCTGCTCCAACGTTGTAGCTGACTAACCGACTATGTACCTTCCCAGTTGACCGGATTTTTCAACTGGTCGACCCTTCTTAAAACAAGTGTTTACACGCAGAATATGGGTGCATGAACCTAGTTGCAACTTATAATAAATCAGTCATGATAAACCAGTCTTGAATAAGAGCTGTCCCGTTATAGCCAGGGGTTTTAGGATAGCGTATCACACAGGACTATCAGCGGGACAAACGACAGTATATCTATCAATCTTAAGACAATATTGGTAAAGTTTAAAGAGCTTGAGTCTCTGCTCAGGACGATATTAAGACGCGCTAGAAAGTTTAGCGAACTACTATATGTACGATCCTAAAGTAAATATTAGATTACAAAACACATAAGAAAACTGATTATATACGGTGTGAGACTGACAGTAACAATAATCAGTACACTCCTAGTATTACTCAATTGATAATCAAACATAAAGTGGCCAATTAACCTATATTGTACCAAAATGGACTCGGTGTACTTAACACCAGGTAACGACCCCAAAGAAATTACCAGGTTTATACCAGCGAGTCAAAGTCATTGGGTATCCAAGGCCAATAAGTTTGAAAACTCTGAAAGTTCGTTGGCGCACTAATGTATGGAACATTTCCTGGTTATTATGAGAAAAGTAACGAAATTGTAGGGACTTCAAAAATGTACATGATATAGTGACTCGGTTTTATAAATTTGGCCCTTTTAGCCCTACGCTTATCGTGCTGTCTAACGACAGATTCAATAATCTGAGGGTTGACCAATGAATACACGCAGTTTTTTCACTATACGGGATTGATCAATATATAGTGAGTGAAATTTCCAAATCCATACAAGAATTAAACGTACGCTTTTTTCACGGGACTTTGAGGCCATGTACTTCTTTATTTGCTCAGCCCTGTCAAGGTACCGCGCACAACTGAGCTGAATAGATTCTTTAGCTCGATCACTTGGAGCCTCATCTGAAAAACAAACTCAGCAGTAACGAATACCTTACACTTAATGGCATGGATGAAATATTCAATTGCATGTTCGTAATATCTGAGCGCCTGCTCATAATTCTTTGCTTTGTCCTCATTTGTTGCGAGAGTGACTAACTGTATGCCTTTCTAGAATTCATAACGCTGCAACAAGCCCAAACAACCTTACTTCAAGCGACATCCAGGACTTTGGGAAACTGTCCGAATCACCCTCGCTTTATGGGTTGTGTATAATATCCAATACTAAAATTTTAAGATGAGCAAAATTATTTAATTACAGCTTACTCAGATGCATCGAAAGGTTATAAGATCCAGTCCAAATATGTGTTTTAAGGCAAAAGATCACCCGAAAATCGGTTTGAATACCAAGCATACACTTTGATACAGGATATTTTTATCTGGTAAACCTGGATTAGTTACTAGGTCAAAAATGTTTTAATATAAGTCATCACTCTCTCTAGTTGTGTAAGAACATTAAATATCATTTTTTATTTTGATTTTCGTCTGCTGTGATATTGATTTCATATTTTCAGATATTTTTTCTCGCCCATTGGCATATTCCATCTTCATTATGATGGAACAGACACTTTGGTTACTTGAGATTAAACCTCCATCGCCTCCCATATTTCAGTTAATTCCATTTTGTTCCGACAATATCAAAGCCTGGTTCTGGTACTCAGAAGCTGACTCACACGACCACGACGTGACGGACCCAAGTGCACAATTCCTCGCAGCAGTGAGAGCACTACCACGCGATTTTAACAGGTACGTCACACCTAGTATGTCTACCAGTGGCGTTTCGTAACCCTATTAAGCTTTGGTTAATTCGTGCGATATTTTGAACTTCCGTGTGCTGTTCATATAGATTTTTGCAAAATAGGAGAAATCTCCATTTCAAGAGCTCCCTTATCTGAAACAAGTCAATCAAAGATTTCTTTAGTTCAAGGCTTACTCGATTATGGAATGCACTCCATCTAGACCATCCATTTTCATCAATGAATTGTGGTGTTTGAATTAATTAATGATTCTTTTGTACTTGTTGATTGCTCGATTTCGAATTCTAAATACAATACATTCGTTCGTGCTTGTCTAGTACTTCTTGATTCAATTGCCTTATTTCGGGGGTTCTTAGTTCATACTATAATTCAAATAATTCGAAACATTAAATTGGCGTCACGATGGAGCCTGTGATGGAACTGTTGGATATACATTCAGATTTTGGTGCTTTTGAGGATTATTTTGAAGGTTCGAAATCTGGGCTATGATCAAGGAAGATGATGAGGATGTTAATATTGTGGCACATTTCCTCACATTCATCGGAAAAGAAGCATACAGCTTACTAAAAACTCTGGCTATGCCGGGAAAGCCTACCTCGCTTCCTTATACCACTCTCAAGGAACTGCTGCCAGACTATGTTAAGTATACAAATTTCGAAAGCAATAAAGGAAGATTTTGTAAAGTGATTCATGAGGATGTGAAAAATTCCACTACATTACTACGTCATCCCAACCCAGTGCATACTCAAGGCTATGCAGATAATTCATTGAGAAGTTGCGATGCATTTCACGAAGATGGGCACAAGTTTGGTCAGTGTTTGTCCTGTGGCATATACCACTCTTTTAATTCATGTAAATTTCGTAATTCTAAGTGCTTTAAATGTGGTGATATTGGATATATTCAGTCAGTCTGTAATACTAATGTTCATCTTATTGCAACTAATATTAAGTCTTGTAATTCTGATTCTATTGAGTCGAGTATTCCTAATGATCATTTATCTTTATCATCGATTTCAAAAGACAGTGTAGAGTCATATAGCAGTGTCCTCCGGTATCATAAGTATCGAGGATGTATGATCCATCTACATTACCCTAGCAATGCTTCGGAATTCGAAGATAATGTATTAAACATAATACCAAATTGGCAATAACTCGCTGTGCAGCAGTAGTTATATCAAACTTGCGGGATTTAAATGTAAATCACCAAACTAAAAACCTGGAACAGGTATACAATTAATGACGGTGTTTGCACATGGTTTAACATTAAATGTTGACCTCAGTTTCTTTGAGATCGATTGGAAAACAGATATTGTTACTCCCTTGATCTGTCGACCCAATAATATACAGGGAGGAATTTGTTTTGATCTAGGTTAAGGCATTGACACAACAGGATAACTGACCCAACCTCGAGGCTTGAAGTGCGTGCGTTCGGATCAAGACCAACGGCTTCGGGTACAGAGATGAAACTTACTACACCATGTAATTAGCTGACAAACGAGAAAGATCAGACAAGTCTGCTGAAACACTACTCCATTTATTCCTGATTCACGATTAGTGTGTGACACATGAATAAATTGATGACTGACACGACCACATTGCACTATACAACAGTAAAAATGTAATTAGACACAGGCCTGGCATTAGGGTAGAAAAATAGAGGACAAACATTTACGTTTAAATTACAACACGTTTGGACTAGAAAATGGTACGGCAGTGAATCGCACATCAAACGAAAGTTCATGGTTTCTAGGATAACCAAAGGATAAACCTAAATAATGGTATTTCACAAACTTTGAAATAAGTGGAACAAAGTCCTCCAACGTAGCTTCCGCTGTTTGCCATGATCATTTCATTTCTCTGTCCACGTGAGATAGTTCTCCCCAGCGATATGAGGAAATGGTTGCAGTTACAGACACTTATAACTGGAAACAACATGTCATGAAACCTGAGCGTGGTAACAAAATATTGAACTTTCCATTCTGCTTCAGTGTTTCATTCGCAGTAGCACACATTGAAAAAGTGATCACGGTTATCATAGGATAAATTACTGTTCCTTGACAACCCTCAAATTAAACAGTGAGAACACAATGTATTAAAGAACTATGGTCTATTTCGGCATTAGGACATTCATTTTTGCTTCTGAAATGATAAGGTTTGTCATGATGTGCCTGTAACAGCTTAGGTTGGTTTGTTAAGAGTTGACCCCAAACAACCAAGTATATGCCAAAACAGTATTGTTCAAGTATTCATTCACTTCCTTGTTTTGTATAAGCGTTATATTCCCTATTATCTTATATTGAATGTTGAGAGCCTTTGTTTGTCTGAACAGATAATCCCACGCTCCACTGTGACCGCGTTAAGATCGAAATAAAGACCCATTCACTACTTGTCTGGTTTCTTCTATCAATAGCACGAGGGTTACTTTAAGGCACGAAATGCCTACCTAATCGGTAAGATCTTACATGAAAGTCACATCGTTGTCTATGCAGACTCATCCTAATGTGACATAAGCAAAATGATTTTTATCGCTCCCGAAGAACAAACTTGAGCTGGAGATAGAATGATATATTTAATATGAACAGGGATAAGTTACACAGAATGACCACGAATACAAGGCTGAGCTATGACACCTGATCAGCTGTTCCCGCGTTAACCAATGCTGACCTTCTCTCCGTGTTGAATGTTGATTATGAATCTTCTCAGTCATCTCATACCCAGCTCCGAGGATCATGTGGTTAGTAAAAACACCACTATAGTTTTAAGCTTGCAGACTGTGAGTTGTTAGTGATACTTATAAATCGATCTGATTGATATGGTTATTTTACTGACAACTCATTATTAAACTCAGTTGTTATCCTCAATAGGATCATGTTTTCATTCTTGACCTCAATAGCCTTTGAAAAACACACAAGACACAGAGAGATAAGTCTTCCTTCCTACCGCGCTAATATCACGCAAAAATCAGAAAACTTACTTCACAACTCAACATTTTTAAGGACTTATCATTCTTACACTCGGTACGTGAAACAAGAATCTGTCAGGGTATTACACGATGGGAATGACGGCAAAGAAAAGTATGACAACCTTGCAAGTGGCTCCAAAGCAAAATGTCTGACATCTCTCCTAGAAAAGCACATGCTTAGACCAGAAGATATTCAATTTCTTATCCAAGGTGATGCAATCTACAATAAACCCATGGATATATGTGAAATATAATGCAATTCTTTGACAAACTTTAATTAACAGCAGCCTTTCAACATCGACGATATGAAACTTACATACAATAAGTGTTTAACTGTGTCATTCTGTTCTGAAGGCATGTCTGAGGCTATAAAAAATCTTAAGACTACAATAGATGTAGGAACTGGCAGTATCTACATTCACTAAAAGATGTGGTGATAACGCGCCACGTATAGCACTTAAAATATTTGCTATGATATTGGACGCATATGTGTACCCAAGCAACTGGAAGACCAGATACTTTATCAAACGATATGACTGAGGACAGCGAATCCTGCAATTCGAAAACCCATAACACACCACTCCAGGTTTTTCGTAAACCATCAAAAATGCTGTAAAAAGAAGAACCTCAAACTACGTGATAACTCAAATCTCTACCACTAAATAACAATATGGATTCTCAGCAGGTGGTTCATGCATGACCTTCGACAACATAATACAGTGCCCCGAATTACAAAAAGTTATAATCCTTCATTTTGCTACGTCAAGGGCATTTGATCAAATATCCTACAGAATATGATAAACTGTTCTCTGTTGGAATACATGACATTTCGCTTAGCTGACTTAAATCATTCCTGGATAATCGGTACCGATTTATCTGGCTTAATTCAAAGGCATCGGAAACTGGGAGGGTAACTAGTGCGGTTATACAGGAAAGTATGCTAGGCTCTCTTTTTTCGTAACGCGCAATAACAGCATTTGTAACTGCTTTAACCTGTGGAAGACTTTCACGTGGGTTGATGACCAGGCACAAGGACAAGGTATATAATGTTGATAATCTTATGAATCTGGAATTAACACGAAATAGCATTATGGTGTGGAAAATACGAACTTCAATTTAATATGAACAAACGAAGTTGGATTAGTATCAGATGCAGCAACCTGAGACTTCATTTTGAAATGTATGCCATATCCGAATAAGATATCATCTTAGACATTGAAGTCAGTTACTTGAGTGTCTCAAGTTTTCCTGAATAAATAACTTCAACCAATTTGAAGGCAGGCAAACCCATAGGTTGAATAGTTCATAATTTTTCCAAGCGTGAAACTAGGCTAAAACTATATATATTCTTTGTCCGCTTAGTGCTTGAATATTTTCCGTTTATACTCACTAGCCTTCGTATAAGAGAGAAGTTGAAACTTGGAGAAATTCAGAGGTCGTTTA